AGCAGTGCATAAATCCTCATATTTCATCACATAAGTAATAATGTGTTCTATTAAGTGATTATGTCTAAAGCCTATCCATTAGACAGAAAATGGGTGTACTTAGACAGACACAGAAGTCAGAGATTGAGATCTCTCAATCTCAATGAAAACAGGAAGACTCAGCAAGAAGCCAGTTACATATGGTTTGTCAGACATTACAGGAATTTACCACCAGGTGCCAGATTAACACCAATAATCGGAGAATATGTAAATGTAGTGAAAATGATAACTGTGTCAGGATGAAACTTGCAGTGTGTATGATGTGGCCCTGTGTTTCCTGTACATAAGCAGTTCTCAAACCCGGTCCTGATGCACCCCTGCTCTCTTACCATGAGGTTTTGTTCTATTCAACAATATGCTCTGTGAAGTGGACACATCACAAGATATTCTTTCATGGTGTAATTCAAAGTTTAACCTTGCAAGACGTGATTTGTATGCAAGCGTGATGATTGCGGTTAAGTAACCCTTCACGCTTCTATAATAAGTTTTGGCTGAAGACGCTGCAACAGTGCAGTGCAAAATTACAAGTTGAAGTAAACAGTTTAGCCAATTTCTTGTTTGCAAGGGGTAGAGATCAGTGACTCCATTTAGGGAACACATCGATTTGAATACTTTTACTTCTCGGTGCACTCTTTTAACGAGCTAGTTAGGTGTGTTAAGAGACATGATTGGTCAGAATATTTCACGAGCAGCTACTCTGATGTCATAAAAACTGTTGATCTGGGTACGCTGAAATGAGAAGCTGCATAAGGAGATATCTTTTAATTTAAAAATTCTCTTTGCTTTGCAGCACACTTATAGACAGTGCTGGGAAAGTTACTTTTGAAATTAATGCATTACAATACTGAGTTACTGGCATCACGGTGGTGCAGTGGGTAGCATTATTGCTTCACAGCTAGAAGGTAGCTGGTTCGAGTCCCATCTGGGTCAGTTGGCCTCACTGTGTGAAGTTTGCATGTTCTCCCCATTTTCCTGTGGATTTCTTCTGGGCACTCCAATTTCCCCCACAGTCCAAAGACATGCGGTATAGGTGAATTGAATAAGCTAAACTGGCTGTATAGTGGATGTGAGTGTGTTTAAACTGTGGTTTCCCAGATTTGCGATGTGGCTGGATAGGCATCTGCTGCGTAAAACATATGCTGGATAAGTGTCGACTCCTAATTAATAAAGGGACTAAGCCGAAAATAAAATAAATAAATGAACTGGGTTACTCCCCAAAAAAGTGACCAGTTGCGTTACTTAGTTACTTTTAATGGAAAGTAATGCATTACTTAATGCATTACCACGTTACTTTTGCGTTACTCTTTCTTACCTTTTTCTGCAATTAATAACAAACTGTATAACCTTTATTTACCTTAATAATTTGGATAATGTTATCTTCTGAGTACTTCCTGAGCCCAGAGCTCTACATGCCATATATATAGACTAATGAAAGTTCAAATAAATGTTTTTGATGCTTTTATACTTTTTTTATCCTATTAGTGAAGTAAAATGAGCATTGAGACAATCCTTTTTTACTTTTCTTCCATGCATTAAGAAAAATGAGAATACTTCCAACACAGAAATGTAAGGCTCTGTCACCTTGGTTTCTGTTTGTTTCTGCAGGGAGAAAATTCTCGCATTTAGTGCATGTTCAATGTTAATTTGAATTCAGCAATACATTTTTTAAATAGAATTAATTAACTAGTGTAAAAATTGTTAAAAAGTAATTCAAATATTATTACTTATTTTTTAAGTAGTTCACTACTTTATTCGTTACTTAGAAAAGTAATATTATTACATAACTTGCGTTACTTATAATGCACTACCCCCAACACTGCCTATAGATAACATTTAGGCTAACGTATTAATAATAAAACCATAAAAAAATAATATTGATTTCAGGGGGGCTTTTATCCATTCAAACAGGATTAAGTAGTAATGTATTATAGTTTACTCTCTAATTTTGATTATATTATATGCAACAAGCTAATGAGACACATAGACCAAAAAAAGAAAAGTTTACAGAAAAAAACGTTACTATTTACCTACCCTTAATGTTCCTTGCATACACTAGTCAATAGTTACAGCCAGCTTTCCAGCTTTCTTTGAAATGTTTTCTTTTGTGTTCAACAGAAGAAAGAAACTCAAACAGGTAAAGTGTGAGTAAATGATGACAGAATTTTCAGTTTTGGGTGAATTATCTCTTTAAAAGATAGTCATTCATTCATTCATTTATTATCTTTTCGGCTTAGTCCGTTTATTAATCAGTTGTCGCCAGAGCGGAATGAACTGCCAATTTATCCAGCATATGTTTTACACAGCGGTTGCTATTTCAGCTGCAACCCTGTGAAACACCCATACACACACTCACATACACTATACGGCCAGTTTAGCCCATTCGATTCACCTATACTGCATGTCTTTGGACTGTGGGGGAAGCTGGAGTTCCCTGAAGAAATCCACGCAAACACAGCGAGAACAAGGGGCCAACTGACCCAGCCTGGACTCGAACCAGCGACCTTCTAGCTGTGAGACAATTATATACCCACTGTGACAATTTACTTTATTCAGTTCACCTATACCGCATGTCTTTGGACTGTGTGGGAAACCAGAGCACACAGAGAAAGCTCACGCGAACACAGGGAGAACATGCAAACTTCACACAGAAATGACAACTGGACCAGCTCGGGCTCTAACCAGCAACTTTCTTGCTGTGAGGCAACCTATTTTGTTAATTTGTATGAGTACAGTATACAGAAGCATACAATCGATTTATTTGTCCCAAATCCTTCCATAAGCAAGTTCAAAGATAAGTTAAGATGAACACATTGTTCTACTTAGTTTTTTTTTTTAAACAAACCACGTGTGGTGTTTTAATGTGCGTACATTGTGATGTCTTGTATAGTCCACTAGAGGACAGTGCTGTAATCTGCTAAACCTGGGTTTACACAAGAGCTTTAGGTTTCAACAAAATAATAATTCAAATCATTACACTAGACAATGCAGACCAGTCTGATACATGTTTATGATGCATGCTAATTCAGATTTTTTAATATGTCGATTAAAGATGCTTAGGTCATGTGACAGCTCTCGTTATATCCTTGAGCTTTGGGGATTAAATCAACCTACTTTTACTTAATTAGATAGTGATTTGTCTTTTGTGTAATGTGCTATCTTTAATTTTAGACAATCAGGGTCAAATTAGTTTCTTAGTATAGCATATATGGCAATACGCAATAGAGTTCAGTGCCTTTGGTTGTTACTTTTTTTTTATCTAGGACAGTCAGTGCATTCATGAGACTCTCACTGAAGCTTATTTCCAACATGGAATAGACAAACTAACAAAAAAGGAAACAGGATTTTTTCTTAGATGACTGACTGGAATCTGTTTCATCTTAGCAGTTCTGTGTTTATATTTCCCAATTTATCCAACTCGAACATTATTCTCAGAGTTGCAGGTTTATCTCACAATTTTGACTTTTTACCTGACTTGAAGATTATTTGACAATTCAGAGTTCAGATATTTTTTCTTGCAAATTTGCCTATAACCATTGCCCATAACAACAACTTTTATCACAATTATGTTTTGTTTTTGTCAAAATTAGACATCTCTCCAACACTTTTTTCCCTTATAATACCGAGCTTCTTTACTATTTTGACAAGTGTCTTTATTTTATTTTATTTTATTCAATTATTTGTTTTACACCTTTACGAGTGTCTTTTTTTCTGTTAAACACAAAAGGAGATATTTTAAAGGAAGCTGGAAACATGTAATCATTGACTTTCAAAGTATTTGGTTTTCTTACTATGTTAGTCACAGGTTTTCAGCTTTCTTCAAAATATCTTTTTTTGTGCGTTCAACAGAATAAAGAAACTCATAAAAGTTTGGAACCACTTGAGAGCGGTTAAATAGTGAGTGAGATTTAATTTATGAGTGAACTACCACTTTAACTTCATTATGTATGAGTTAACTCAGCAGAATTAGACGTTCTTTGACTTTTTCCACTTATAGTTTCACAATTTTAGTTCTCACATTTTTCCCACAATTCAGACTTTTTTAAAGTTTATATTTCACAATTTTGACATTTTCACACAACAGTGAAATGTTAGCTTAGTTTATATTTGGCAGAGAAACACAGGGTTGTGAGAAAAATGTCAGAACTGTGGTACAGAAAGCACCCCCCCATACCCCCCCCCCCCCCCCCCACAAATCTCTCAGAATTGCGAGTTTATCATCACAATTGCAATTTTGTCTTTTGTCCTCAAATCTTCAACTTTGTCATTTGGTAATTTGTTACTTCGTTATTTTGTCTTTTCTGCATTTTAATTCTCACCCTTTTTCCTTTTCAAACTTCAAAAAGGAAAATCAAAAATCAAAAATACTTTAAGTTTTTTTTATTGGGTGACCCATACAAGCTTCCACAGACTTTCTAGCATCCATCAAACAGAAGTTCAAATTGTTCTTGATATCACAAGATACTGCTATCCAGCTGATATAAAACAACTTTCAGCACTGTTGAACTAACACTGATAAGATTTAACTGCAGCCACAAACAACAAGGCCATCAAAGCTCTGATTAAAGTCAGTCAAGAAACCTTCAGCCAACTCTTTTCACTCCAAACCCAATAAAGAACACACTAGAGCAACACAATGATCCTCGGCCACCGCGTGGGCCCCTTGCATCCTTACCTCCAAAACCCTATCAGTAAATGTGCATGGCAAACAATAACAGACCTTCTCTCCTTCTTCACCCATTCCCCGGTGGGTGTTTTTTTTTATAACCACACCCACTTCCTCCATTGTGGGAGGATCTTTCCAAAAGCAACATCACTGCATTCCTGGCCCGTTTGCACTGTGCGTCCCGTGGCCAGACTGCAAACCACAACTGTTTCTATGGTGCTACATCAGAGGCCAAAGAGCAGCCAATCAGACGGCTCGTGTGGGAGCATGTGGGTTGAGAGAGTGAGTTGCTGAACTTACTTTTGGTTTGCTGTGGAGCTGCTGCAGGGAGGAGGACAGAGAGCTCTTCACTCAGACAAGAGGAGAGGAGAACTCATTATTTTCAATGGAATGACGACTAGTTTCTGTCCTGAGTCAGTGTGGTTGGTGTGCCTTTGAAGCTATTGAGATCAATCACTTCCATTTGTATTGTGATACATCAGTTTCTTCATGTTTTATGGGTGGGAGGTGAGCAAACGAGGAGGAAGGGTCAGAAAGAATTAGTTTTTGACATCTGGACAGAACGTGAGCCGTGGAGAGAAGATTGAGTTGCCATGGCTGATAATGTTATTGAAGAGAGCGGTAATTACCCTGGAAAGGATGAGCTGGACTGGGGATATGAAGAAGGTAAGGACTTTGAGAGAATTAGTCCCTAAATCTGCTCTCTGTGAAATATGAAACTTTATTGTTACACCCATGGTCAGGAATTAGTCTATAAACAAACCTGTCTCAGTTTGGCTTAAATGAAAAGAAGTGTAAGTGGTTGAATATTGTACCCTACTGAATACATAAATACATAAAGCATATTAGGTAACACTGATGGTCATTTAATAAGCAGTTTTTATGTTAAAAAAGGCCTTTTTTCATATTTTCAGAAATACAAATTTAGTAACCAGATTAACTCTATCGCTGTTTGTGTAGTCGTCAAAAAAAAAAAGATTTTATTTAAGTGAAACTATTGTACATTAAAAAAATGATATGACAAAGTAATGACTATAAATGTTTTTACAAATATATAAATGTTTTAACTTAATATTTTTTGTTTGATTTATGTAAGTTGAGATGACTAGAAAAATTTATTTATTAACTAACTAAAATTAACTTAGCTATAATTAGTAGAGCAAGATTTTTTTTACAGTCTACTGTATTGAAATTTATGTTATTATTATTTTTATAGCCTTTTTATTAATTATATAAGTTTTTTGGTAACACTTTACAATAATGTTCATTAGTTAATGCATTTACTAACATGAACTAATCATGAACAACACATGTACAGCATTTATTAATCATAATTGAACATTTACTAATGCATTATTAACATCCAAGTCCATGCTTGTTAACATTAGGTAATGCACCATGAGGTAACAAACTAACAATGAACTACTGTATTGTCATTAACTAACGTTAACTAACATGAACAAATACTGTAGTAAATGTATTGTTCATTGTTTGTTCATGTTAGTAAATGCATTAATTCACATTAACTAATGAGCCTTATTGTAAAGTGTGACCAATTATATTTATTTTGTAGTTATTCCGTTATCCATTTATATAATATCAGCCATTATCTGAGCATAGATCTGAAAAATAAAAATTAAAAAGCTGTAAAAATTGAATACTTTAATGCACATGTGTAGTGTGCTGTATGTAGTGCACATATAACAGTACATTATTTCAAAGCATTTTTATTATTTTTGTTATTTATATTTACTTTATTTATGCCATTATCTCTCTCTCTCTCTCTCTCTCTCTCTCTCTCTCTCTCTCTCTCTCTCTCTCTCTCTCTCTCTTTATATATATATATATATATATATATATATATATATATATATATATTTATACAACAGTTCTGTCTGGTTCTCAAATCTGATTGGCTAATAGCCGTGCGATATTCTGCAATATCAGAACTTCTACAGCCTCTTTACCCTTTGTGTATTAATCCGCCCACATACAGCCAGCAAAAAACAGACACTACAGATCTAAAGTTTAAAAGATGCACACTCAACTGTTTAACTGTCAGCTTATGATTTGAATCCAGAAGAAAGTAGTTCCTCATACAAAAGGGTTTTTGAGACTCTCCATGTTTGATTTTGTTTTTATATACACAATTATGCCGTCAAACTGTTGTAAAAACGCAATATCACACTCGTAGCAGTGCGATACGGCTGTATATCGGCACTGGTGGGGGCACTAACGCACTATTACACGTCTCTCACCAGTGTCGATATACAGCCATATCGCACTGCTACTCGTGTGATATTACTCATATATATATATATATATATAACCACTTTCTGTGCACTGCTGTAAATGTGTGATGAGAAACTGTTGTAAATGCACATATTTAGTTACCGTATTTAGTGCACATGTAACAGTTTACTGTATTTAAATGTATGTTATTATTATTATTATTATTATTATTATTATATTGCATATTTATTAATATTATCAATTATATTTATTTTGTGGTTATTCTGTTATCCATTTATGTAATATTATCCAATTTCTGAGCATCTAAAAAATAAAAGTTTAGACTGTTGGAAATGTTAAAGACTTTAGTGCACATATTTAGTTTACTGTCTTTAGTGCACATACAATTGAAAGAATTATTAGCGCCCCGTTTATTTTTCCCCCCAATTTCTGTTTTTTCAACACATTTCTAAACAAAATAGTTTTAATGACTCATTTCTAATAATTTATTTTATCTTTGCTTGACAGAACATAATATTTTACTAGATATTTGTTAAGACACTTTTATACAGCTTGAAGTGATATTTAAAGGTTTAACTAGGTTAATTAGGCAGGTTAGGGTAATTGGGCAATGAACTGTATAATGATGGTTTGTTCTGTAGACTATCAAAAAATATAGCTTAAAGGGGCTAATAATTCTTACCTTTAAATGGTTTTAACACAAATTAAACTACTTTTATTTTACCCGAAATGAAACAAATGACTTTCTCCAGAAGGAAAAAAAATGATCAGACATACTGTGAAAATTCATTGCTCTGTTAAACATCATTTGGGAAATATTTAAAAATTAGCAAAAATTCTAAGGAGAGCTAATAATTCTGACTTCAACTATATAACAGTTTACTGTATTTCAATGTATTTTATTATTATTATTATTTTATAGCGTTTTTATTAATTTAATCATTTAAATTTATTCTGTAGTTATTCTGTAATCTATTTATATAATATTAGCTATTATCTGAGCATAGATCTAAAAAGTAAAAGCTTAAACCGTTGTAAATGTTGAACACTTTAGTGCACATATTTAGTTTACTGTATTAAGTGCACATATAACAGTTTACTGTGTTTAAATGTGTTGTTATTATTATTTTAGAGAATTGTTATCAATTTAATCAATTATATTTATTCTGCAGTTATTTTGTTGTCCATTTATATAATTTTAACCATTATCTGAATATAGATCTGAAAAATAAAACTTAAATGTTGAATACTTTAGTGTACATATTTCGTTTACTGTATTTATTGCACATTTAACAGTTTACTGTATTTCAATTTTTATTTATTACATTCATTCTGTAGTTAATCAGTAATCCATTATATAATATTAACCACTTTTGAGCAGATCTTAAAATTAAAACAGACTGTTGTAAATACTTCTTTACTTTGGAACACAGGTTTTTGTTAGGCCTTTTTTTTTTGAAGATGTCACTTGGAAGATTATTACAGATGTGGATTAAAAAGATGAAATAAAAAAAATCATCACGTTTACTTTCCTTCCTTCATCATTAGACATCACAGTAGAATAAACCACCATATAAAGCCAGTACTTTCAGATCCCCCCCCCCAAAAAAAAAAAAAACATTTTCCAGTAGTTTTTAATTTTAAAACTGTGAAAACAAAAGAAGATGTAAATCTAAAGTAAAGTGATCTAAGTAAGTTACGTTTCAAGTCATTCTATTTTCCAAACAGCATCAAAAAGTTAATTCAGTAAAATGAAAAAGTTAAAGCACTTGTTTTAAACTAAAACATTTTTGGGCCATGTATTTTCTCTAATATTGGTAGTTTTGTAAAGTTTTCTTCACATAGTGAGCTTTCAGATAACAATGCACACACATGCGAGGACAGGAAGACAGTGCAATACATACAGATGGAGAGAAAGAAAAGCAGTGAAGAAAAAAAAAATGAGCACATCCTGTATCCCCCTGTGTCTGCTATTCCTGCTGGAGCCCTCAGTAATGACTTTGAGGCACTGGAGCTCTGGCAGCCTGCTTTTAGTTTTAACACGGATGAAGAAATGAACCTCTGTTAGCAACACCAAATATTTCATATAGCTACACACAACTGAACCGACACTCAGTAACACTATTCAAAAGTTCGATTCAAGGTTGAGCAGCATAGCAAGGACACTCTTATCATACGTTTACAAGCAAGATAAACATTCTTTGATTGCTGCTTCTTAATCAAATATTATCATCATCATCATTGAAGAGCTGATTGAATGACTGGTTTTGGGTTTTTATAAATGAATCCAGGTGTTGAATGGGGTCTTCTGTTTCCTGAGGCCAATGGAGAGTACCAGTCCCCTATAAACCTCAACTCACGCGAGGCTCGCTATGACCCGCAGCTGCTGGACGTGGGGCTCAACCCAAACTATGTGGTCTGCCGCGACTGTGAAGTCATTAATGATGGTCACACTGTGAGGATCATGCTGAAATCCAAATCTGGTATGACATGCTGAAACCTATGTGTGTGTTTTTGAATGTTAGAGAGCAGTTGAGTGACTCTATTTTCTCACCCTCATGTTGTTCAACACTCTTAGGTGTCAGTAGTTTCACACTGGAATGCCAGAAACAGTTGACCATGATCAGAAAAATGAAAAAAGGGCTATAAAAGCAGCCCATGCATAGCTTATGCTTGACTTTGAGAGTGAAGATAGTGATGAATGATTGCATTGAAATATCTTAAATGTTGTTATTGTTTAGTTTGTTTTATTTTTGAAGGTTGATGAGTAATATTGCACCCAAAATAATACACGTTTAGCATTTATGTTCCATGAAAAAATATCTTAGTGTATGCGCGTGTGCGTAATTATGCATTATATAGTTCAAATCGATTAATTTTTTTATGCCAAAAGTCATTAGGATATTAAGTATGATTGTGTTCCATTAAGATATTTTATACATTTCCTTTGTAAACTTGGACACTTTAAATGTGATTTTTTTTTAACACTCAAATTTTGAATTTCCATTTTTTTTCTTGTCCACATATTGTCAATATTATCAGTGGAGGCTTGTTTATTCAGACTTTAGATGATGTATAAATCTCAATTTCAGATGATACAAGGTAAAAGAGGCCAGGAATAAGATTAAGTTTGATAGAGTATTTTTTCAGAGACAGTTCTTTTTAAGGACGGCATGGTGGCTCTGTGGTTAGCACTGTCACCTTACAGCAAAAAGCTCACTGGACTTTTTGAGTACCGGCTGGACCAGTTGGCATTTCTGTGTGGAGTTTGCATGTTCTTTCTGTGTTGGCGTAGGTTTCCTTTGGGTGCTCTTGTTTCCCCCAAAGACATGCGCTATAGGTGAATTGGGTTAACAAAACTGGCCTTAGTGTATGAGTGTGTGTGAATGTGAGAATGTATGGGTGTTTCACAGGACTGGGTTGCGGCTGGAATGAATGGCTGTGTAAAACATATACTGGAATAGTTGGCGGTTCATTCTGCTGTGGCGACCTCTGATAATCAGAGACTAAGCTAAAGAAAAATGAATGAATGATTTCTTTTTAATGAAAAAAACATTAAAGATTTTTTAAATAGAAATTTAAAACGTTTTATTTTTATTATGTTATGATTATGTTATGCTATTATTTATTAAAGGTGATAAGAAGATGAAATTTTCAAAATTCTCAAAAAAAATTTTGGTTATGTTTATGCTGTAACACTTTGTTATAAACAGTCTGCATGTATTTATGTGCCTTAATAGCTAGCTATCTAAACTTCACCCACCAGGTTTTGTAAATAGACAGCAAACCATGCCCAGATGAAGATGCTCACAATATCCCATTTTCAGAAGAGGCAACAGCGAAAATGATCAGTATTAAATGTAAAAGTAATGTCCCAGGAAGAGAAAAAAATGTGTGCAAAACATTTTTCTTTGCTGGACTGCCTTATGACCTCAGTCAATTTGAAGCTGAACTCTTAAATGTAAAGGATGCAGCTATACCTATAGGCAGGGCTTGACATTAACTTTTTTGATCAGCAGCCACTGTGGCTAGTAGATTTCCAACATTACTAGCCACTTGTCAGTTTCACTAGCCACACTTTTGTTGTTGGGAAATTATATTTTTATATGCATAAATTTGACTATGACATGTTAAAATTACTTGATTTAGATGTTGTTTCAACACCGATAAATCCGTTTGGATGAGACCACTACAAGTTCACAATGCGGGCTCTCTGCGTTGTCTGCTGAAGCGAGTCGGCATTGTGAAGCCCACTAGTGAAGCCCGGCGTTGTGAAGATGTCCACATGCCTCCTCATTCTTTTCACTTTTTGTGTGTGTGATGAGCTTGTAGTAGGTCATTCTGGGTACTCCTTACATACTGTTTTTTGAATGCTATGAATTCGGACATACTATTCGGCTCTTATCCTGTTTAAAGCATACTATATAATATGGAAGTATGCGATTTCAGATGCAGCTAGACTTTTCATTGAGACCCTGATGTATAATATCATCTTGTCTATATTGGGCATCCAATTGAAGAGTACTAGAAATAAGCAATAACTTTAAAATAGTCTTACTCATTCTCATAAAGGAAGTGTCAAGTAAATGAAATGATTTGACTTTATTTTACTCTAATAGCCTTATATAGTTTTATTATACAGAATGGTTAAAAGACATAAATCTGCTGTGTGTGGGAAACCATATATGCTGCCTGTGTATTGAGCTTGTTTTCTGTCTTTTCTCTGTATGTAATGTCAGTTGTTACTGGAGGTCCTCTCCCCAGTGACCATGAGTATGAGCTGAGCGAGGTGCGCTTTCACTGGGGCAAAGAAAACCAGAGAGGATCTGAACACACTGTCAACTTCAAGGCTTTTCCAATGGAGGTCAGTGTCACTCCGCTATTTCTGTCACCTCATCAGTCACTTATCCATCCTGATCTCTAAAACAATCTAGTTTCACACTACACACCAAAGCACATATTCATTTAGAGAGCCCTATTTACACGCCACCAATTTTCACACTGCATAAGCAAACAGCATGCTGAAAATGTGCTGCAAAACTTGAAACAATTGTATATCCTTGATACAATGAGCCTCGTTTCCTGATTTGCATGTTACCACAAAATTGGACTGCATGTCTGCTACTGCATGTCTGATTTTTAGCTACAAATGCACTTCAATCCTTGTCAAAAACAGTAACAGCACACACTCTGATATGGGATTTGCCATCAAGCGATCTATTCCCATCACCTGCCCCTGGCACCTGCTCTCCTAATCCTGATCTTCTGTACACAATGAAAAAGATAAGAGCCCGTTTTCAATGTGTTACCATGTTTGTCAACCAGTTACCATGTCACGTTTCCTTAAGCTGTTGGCACAACTTCGAGTCAAACCAGTCCTTTAGCAGGATGTAGATAATCAATACCTTCATAATTTTGCATATGTTAATTTCAGAGTTCAGTTTCAGTGCAAATCTCTCAATGAGTAATCAATATCTTTCACAGCTTCATCTAATACACTGGAACTCTACATTATTCAACAGCGTGGAGGAGGCCATGGGCAAGAAAAGAGGCATTCTCATCATCGCCCTGTTTGTGCAGGTATCACACTGAATGGCCTGAGCAGATATGTAAAAAAACAAGCTATAAAAAAACTGTTAATCATGGTCTAAATATAAAAAGATGAAATGGTCACTGGTGATTTGTATTGGTGTGTTCAAGTCATGTCCGGTTGTATTTTTATGAGTTGTAATTACAAGAAGGAAGTGAGATTTGCTTTAAGCCCCAGGTCTCAGAACTGAGGCATGTTGTAAGGAACCATGTTGAATGACATGGAAATGTAGAAGTTCAAACAATGAGTATGTTTACATGGACACTAATAATTAGATTTTAATATGATTAAGATATACTCTTATTAAGAGTCTAGCATGTAAACGGTGCTCTTTGATTACCAGATTTTTGAAACTTTATTGTATTTGTTCTGATTTTCAAATTAGTGTTTGTTTTCTGACCTGTGAGTGTCTGACCAAAATTGTAAGTCATAGAGACATCAAAAATGGCCGGATGGTCCTAAATGTCCCTCAATACTCAGGTGTACATACACACCAAATTTAGCATGTGCCAAAGGAATGCATGGCAAAATTAGAATTTAATTTCATCTAATGGTTTGGAACATAGAGCTTAAATTAGATTCCTAGTCTGTTTCTCAATTCCAAGAACGCAGAGAACGAACTTGCATTTGTTACATAACCAGCAATCTGTTCCTGAAAGATTGCTGGCATACTACACATGACATTCATGAACTACATATTCCAGCATGCCTTTGCACAAACCAGTCACCATTAATCACACACAGCTGAATATCGTCATCATCAATTTGTTTGGACTATTTATACACATTGCACACACCAGTCAATGTGGAATCTTTGTTTGTCAGTACCTGTATGGTTTCAGTGAGTGTCGTCCTGTTTAGTTTGTCTAGTTATGTTTTGATGATTGTTTCGTAACTTTTTGTACTTTGATCATCGCTTTGTTTTTGCATTTTTCGATGCCCTTCATGATACCTGAGTTCTTGTTTTTTGACCTAATTTGTTTTTGCCTGCACGAATAATCTTTTTTCATTAAAAATTGCATTTGGATCCAACGAAGCGTTCTTGTGGAGACCGGTCTTGCCAGGTGTCCTCGGAAGAATGAACTCAGGAGACCGCGAGGACAGAGAATGCGTCCTTTGGGAAATGGGATGCTGCGTTCTTCCTGATGGTCACGTGACCTTCACGCATTTTAAATGGAAATCATTTAAACATTACAGCACTCATACAACGATTTATTGTTTTCCCTTTTCTTCAAAATATATACTTTGCATAAAAACATTATAAATATACTCTGCACAATATAAATAAAAAAATTTTTTGAAACGAATTTCAGCAAACAAACACCCTTAATGTGTTTATTCCTTTTTTAAGATATTCACGTTAATGTTTATTTTCACAGTTTCATTTAGGAAAACTCCTGAGGTAAATAAGTGATATCTCTGAACTTTAATAATAAATCTAAATTAAATGCTGCGCTTCATACCTCCATTCGCAATGACTTCTGGGACTTCCAGAGAGAGTTCGGTGCTCAAGTCTGCATCAGAGCGTCCTCGAAATCATGATCACATCCGGGAAGTTTCACGCGTCCTCCGTACTTGCGGTCTTGAGTATTGGAACTAAACTTAGGCAGCTGATGATGACGTTGCACGAGGACACAAGACCGCTGAAGAACGCATCGTTGTATGAAATCGTTGTATGAAGGCTGTAATGTTTAAATAATTTACCATTTAAAACACGTGAAGGTCATGTGACCATCAGGAAGAACGCAGCATTTCAATTTTCAAAGGACGCGTTCTCTTCCCTCACGGTCTCCTGAGTTCGTTCTTCCGAGGACACCTGGCAAGACCGGTCTCCACAAGAACACAAGTCCGTTCTCTGCGTTCTTGGAATTGAGAAACAGCCTTGGTCCTGGAGGGTCTGCGTCCGGCAGATTTTAGCTCCAACTTGTCTCAAAACATCTGCAAGGATGTTTCTAGAAGCCTAGTAAAGCAGCGGTCACACTGCACTTTTCTCCCCATAGACTTCCATTCATACGCACATAAATGCGTCAGAGCGGAACGGAACACAAGCTTGTGCGACAAGTTTCGCAGTTCGCTGCATTTGAAAGTTCAAGCTTGGTGAACTCGGACCTGCGAAATCTCATCACATGATTGGGTGAGACCAATCCAAGATCAAAACATGACCTCTCTGGACAGGAATTTAAAACATGGACCAATCGCTAGCTTTTTTTTTTTTTTAAATGTCTACTCATCTAATCCTGCCCCTTTTCACAGTGCTGTACTGTGAAGCTGCGGTCACATTAGAGTTTGAGCATGCGATATTCTGACGTGCGGCACTGCGGAAAGGGGCGGGATTAAACAAGAATATTAGACATTTAAAAAAGCGAGTGATTGCTCCAAACAAAGACAGGCACAAAATGCACATTTTCAAAGCCGAATTTCTGACTTTAGCATTGTTTTTCAGATAAGCTAGAACGTTCACTTAGCATGTTTGTCAAATATCTGCAAACATATTATTTTTATGCTTTAGAAAAGTCAAAAACTTAACAAAACACACTTTGCACACTGTTATGAATCATTCTGTTGATGGGAAGTAAAAATCCTGTTTAATGTTTGAATTTATGGAAACAAATACTGTTTCTAGGAGAAACTGAACTGACCATATGTCCTGCTCAGCTGACACGGCTGCTCTAATTTACCCTTTTCAGGTTGGGAAGGAACATCTTGGTCTGAAGGCCATCACAGACGTCCTGCAGGACCTGCAGTATAAGGCAAGCAGAAGAGCAGCTTTAGTAAACACAACACATCCCCTTGTGACCTAAAATGTTTCTTTTGTTTGTACAGGGGAAGACTAAAATAATTCCATGTTTTAATCCCAACACATTACTCCCTGGTAAATGATTTCTTCATTAATAATCCATGATAGTGGTATTAGCATCTTTTTGCATGTTTTTGTTCTTGATGTTTTCTGACTAGTTAAAGTTTATCAGTTTGTATCTGACTGCCTCTGTTGCTATGTTTACACACTCAGATCCTCTATTAAGAGATTACTGGGTGTATGAGGGCTCTTTAACCACCCCGCCCTGTAGTGAGAACGTCACCTGGATTCTGTACCGTTACCCTTTGACCATCTCTCAGATGCAGGTGATGCCTATACAAATATTATTGGGTTGTTGACTTGACTTTGCATTTTCACTGTCACACTTGAAAAAAATGAATGTAATTAGTACTGCGATCATTTTCTTGCATGAAAACTTGAAAATTTGTACATTTTTGAGCCAAATCTTTGGCATTCCACTGAAAATATTGTTTGTTTAGTTGTAGGACCTCATTTAAGATCATGTGACCTCCTTTGAAGCCCATGACATGCACATGTTAAGTGTTTGTCTCAGAATTTCTCACATATTTAACTTTTTGGAACCATTATAAAATTGTTTAAAAAGTTAAATGTTTTGTTGTCCTTTGGTGTGACTCCCCTTTTATTAAAACAAATCTAACAAATTCATCATGTTACTGAGAAAAATATTATTGCTAATTTCATGTAAAACAAATAGCACTATATGAAGATATAAGTGTCCAACAGTAAAGATAAGTCACGCTCATGATATTTGTACATTATAAAGAGTTGTTTTTCTTCATTTTTGCTATGTTACACCGTATTGAATATTTAAGATACAATTCAGTAAAAGTGAATCTAATAAAGAAAAAAAAGATGAAGTTAGTGACTCATCATTTTTAGTGAGGTGCTATGCAGGTAAACCTAGTGATAGACACTAGAGGTCATAGTCTTTAGCCTCCTTGTTAGAGCAACTGACTCCGATGCGAGGAATCGCTGGTTCAATCTCAGCTCAGACTGGGTTGGAAGCTGTAGGACTGGTGGGTAACACATAGCATAGGATGGGAGTGAGGTTTAGGGGGTAAGTGTAACGGAGGCCAGCTAGAGAAGTGCTATACATGTAAACCTCACTCCTGACCTCTAAAGGTGCTCTAGCAACAGATGCTAGACGCCATGGTCTTTAGTCTCCATGTTATAGCAACCAACTTCCATGCAAAGAATTGCCAGTTTGATGTATGGATGTTTTCCAGAGATGGATTGCAGCTGGAAGGGCATCCGCTGCGTAAAACATGTGCTGGATAAGTTGGCGGTTCATTCCGCTGTGGTGACCCCAGATTAATAAAGGGACTAAGCTGAAAAGAAAATGAATGAATGAATAAATGTGTCTACATTTTCTATTTGTAAATCTTAATTGAAGATGGTTTCATCTGAATATACGTGTCTCTGACATTACCAAAAGTCTATGACTCTGCTAAATTCTCTCTCACTCTCTCTCTCTCTCTGTCGGTATACACACTGCATATATGATGGTCCTATTGTCCTATCTAACTAGTTCTTTCGAGTACACAGAAGGGGAAATCAGAACCCGACTTTGACGTGTCTTACACAGAATGGGGTTTACCACAGTAATGTAACGGTAAAGAACAATATATGGCATTTATCTGCATCTTTGATCTCAGTGACTGGCAGAGCACAATACTTTCAAGTAAAGGCCAGTCATATACTGAATATTATGGAAAGGTCAGACTTGAAAGCTAGTCAGGGTCTTGCCTGTGTTCGATGACTGTAATAACATTTTCTATATAAATAGTTTCCTTCTTTGATTAATGGATATGGTTTTCCCAGATTGAATTTGTACAGAATGCTGAAATGACTCAGCCTATGTTATCACGTTAAAAACAAATACACCATACTATGGAAAAAGGTAGTTATGATAACAGACAACAGAGTAATAATAATAGCATTATAGAGAGAGAAAAGTAAAAATATAAAAATTTAGTTTTCTCATGTTTCTGGAAAAGCTCACACCTAGGGTTCAAATTCAACACTCACACTAAAATTGACCAAAAAAGTGCAAATAATAAACTGAACAGAGTTACTCACTGCCTAATAGGTCATTTACAATGAATAGTATGAAACATAGTCATAGATTTGCTGATATCAGAGATGTGTATTTTTCAGACCAATCCATCTCCTATTAACTTTTACTAATTGAAAATGTATACACAGTTGCAAATTATACATTACATGAACCTTTAAATAATATACATTTAAGTACTTACAGTTGAAGTCAGAATTATTAGCCCCCCCTGAGTTATTAGACTGGTTGTTTATTTTTTTCCCTAATTTCTGTTTAATGGAAAGCAGATTTTTCCAACACATTTCTAAACATAATAATTTAATATCTCAGCTCTAATAACTAATTAATTTTATTTTTGCCATGATGACAGTAAATAATATTTGACTAGATAGTTTTCAAGACACTTCTATACAGCTTAAAGTGACATTTAAAGACTTAACTAGGTTAATTAGGTTAACTAGGCAGGTTAGGGTAATTAGGCAAGTTATTGTATATCGATGGTTTGTTCTGTAGATTATCGAGGAAAAATTAAGCTTAAAGGGGCTAATAATTTTGTACCCTAAAATGGTGTTTAAAAAATTAAAAACTGCTTTTATTCTAACCATATTAAAACTAATTAGACTTTTTTTATTTTTATTTCCTTGCTCTGTTAAACATCATTTGGAAAATATTTTAAAAAGAAGAAAAACATTCGAAGGGGGCTAATAATTCTAACTTCAACTGTAAATTAAAACATAAAGAATTTCTTGATGGGCGAAGCAGTGGTACAGTAGGTAGTGCTGTCGCCTCACAGTAGGAAGGTCGCTGGTTCGAGGCTCGGCTCAGTTGGCGTTTCTGTGTGGAGTTTGCATGTTCTCCCTGCGTTCATGTGGGTTTCCTCCCGGTGCTCCGGTTTCCCCCACAGTCCAAAGACATGCAGTACAGGTGAATTGGGTAGGCTAAATTGTCCATAGTGTATCCACACAGAAAAAAAATCCACACAGAAACGCCAACTAAGCCGAGGCTCAAACCAGCAACCAACCAGCGATCTTCTTTCTGTGAGGCGAACGTGCTATCCACTCCGCCACTGCGTCGCCCAAAGTAATACATGCTATTTTAAAATGACACTGGACAATATAGCTTAGAGTCTGCAGTTAAGGATGAATATACTGAACATAGTGCATGAAACACTGTATAACTTTATTTATTATTAATATTTTAATTAATGCATTATCTTCTTAAATAAATCAATTTCAAATGAGTGAGACTTATGGCCGGTTAAAATCACTCAATTGATTTGTCAGTGCCAACAGTGGAAAAAAAATATTTTTGGTGCTCCTATAATTTAGCCTGCTCTATATAAACATGAGGTCTGATTAGAGACCCTCATTGCTATCATTGCTTTTGTCTTTATTTTTGTATAAATGCATCTGCTAAAAGCATAACACGTTTTTTTTTTCACCTAGATTGAAGAGTTTCGTCGCCTTAGGTCCCATGTTAAAGGAGCAGAGCTTCCAGAAGGCAATGATGGGATGCTGGGGGACAACTTTAGACCGACCCAACCACTGAGTGACAGGGTGGTCAGGGCAGCCTTCCAGTAACACCCCCGCAGCGGGACCATTTTAATCTGCCATGGGTAAATTTACAGGAGTCTTTGTTTACTCAAGCGGAGCAGCCTTATTTGAGCATAATGTGATGGCTTATGTTTGGCTTTGGCTGATCTCTGTAAAGAAGAAGCTAGATTAGGCTTCTCACATTAGCTGATTGAGTGTCCCATTGTCTGAGCTGTGTACAGAGCCCAGCCGGATTTACAAACTACTCATAAAATGAACTAAAATTCAAGACTTCCTCCCCATATGATCATGAATCTGACCAAAATCTCTTGCTTAGTATGCAGTAGTAGCTTAATGGAAATAGGCCAAGCTTTCTTAGCAACATTAGCATCAATACACAAAAGACTGCCTCAAGGGTTCCAGCAAAACAGTAACCCAATTCCTACTGATCTAGGACTTTCTGCAGCATTGTGTAAAGATCTGTCTATTTCGGGGACTCTCCAGGGGACACCTGGGTCTGCCTGCATATTACTCATTTTGAAATGACACTTCGAGCTGGCTAATTTAGGCCATGATGATGCAGTGCTCCTAAAAGAGTCCTATGATGTCATCAGAGCAATCAAATAGTGTTACTTTAGCACTACTGTTTCTGTACTACACTTCAGTTAACTGTGCAATGATTCAATCTGTTAAATTCTCAGATGTCTACATAGGTTTGGGGCTTAGGTAAGTTTAAAATCCTCAAGATATGTGAACGTTTCGTATTACTTATTCCGAATCTATGTGAAAGACGCTTGCCAGATTTTATTTTAGAGAGCAGGCATGAGGTTCAGCTGTATGCTCTTTATTTTCTGTCTGATTCAACTACTGTTTACACAGTACCAAGCCTTAAAATACACAGTGGACCACCCCTTTAAAAGCAGGCTGATAATATGAAAAATCTAATTTTTTTTAAAGTAAAGATATTGAAATGACTATTTAAAAGGACAATATTTTACTAACCTAGCTGGAAATGAACATTGCTAATCTCAACTCCGCTCGTCACTTTCTCAACCCTCTGGGTGTCCCGTAAAATGTCAGTTTGGTGTTAAACGTTGTATAATACTGATCAAAAAGCTTATAAATGTACAGAAACATTGAAATAAACGCATTTGTCAAAGGGAAGCCACGATTCAAACTGACAGGCATGCAATTGATCCAGCCATCCTCTTGTCAGATATAGCAGCTCTCTATGTAGAGAAGCTAGCCGATCGCTTCAGAAAGATTTAATACTGTGTAGGGTAGTGCAATGTAGTGTGGATGAAAATTATGCAGATGATGAATATGTTGAACAGCCTTTGACTGTTGGGGAAGTTAATAGGGTCATGTAAATGTGAAGCATTGTGTTAGCATGGATCGAGATGACGAATTAGCCAAAACATGTGCCTTTTCCTGTAAAGGTTGTGAACTTAAAGATGGAGAGCCATGTTTTCTGTCATTTGATGAAGATTTTGTCTTGATGTAAGATTTTGTTGAAAGATATGTCTTTCAATAATCTCTATTATTAAATATGAGATTTATTTTAACCCAGTATTTAACTGTTGCCGTCTTCGTTATGAATTCTTTAACTGTTAAAAATGTAGCGCCTCTGTTCAATCTTTCTGGTTTTAGTAACAAGTTTTTTATGTACTTTTTTGTGTACTGTAACATTTTTGGATAATTGTTGATATTCAGTGTCCAAAGAAAAGTTTTGCACTTGTTTGGGCGAAAAACCACAAAAGTAGGTTTCAGAAATCACCTCGAATTAGTGGAAAAAAAGGGTTCATTGTAGAGTAAACCTGTGTCTGTACACTTTTGATTTGAGTCTACGATGAACTTTGTATAAACTATTGCTGCGTCCCAATTCACATACTTATACTACGCACTAAAAGTATGTACTTCTTTTGTGAAGGAAAAATATATACTTTTGAGTGTATAACAGAAGAGTATGCAAGCTTTGGGACATACTACTTCCTCATTAACGGATCTTTGTTTTGATTAGTAAAGAGCCCTGTCAATCATACACACATCATCCACATTTCTGTCATATTTAATTCTTTACCTTATTGGAGAAGCAGCAGCAGGATAATCTCCCATTCAACAGTCTGTCATGCAAGGAAAACTCCTCACGTCTTTGGATGATTATGCATTCAGTCGTTAATGTCCAAATACGTGTTTATATATGTTCAGTGTTGTTGTTGGTTATTAACAGTCATTCTAACAACTTTACCGAAGCCACTTTGTTGGCTGTTGGTCTTGCGTGTCCACCTCGCTTGTAGTTTATTTACACTTTTCACCTGCATTTGTAGTTCTAATCGAATTCATGCCCAACGCGCAATGTATTGTGAGCAGTATCAGCGGTTAGAGTATGGACACTTCTACACTAAACTTTTTTACTGGAAATAGGAAACCATCCAGGAACCTTTGACATACCCTTTTCAACATAGTCTACTAAGATTTGGGACATACCAATTCTATTTTCAAATACTATTTAGGACAGATAGTATGTGAATTGGGATTCAGTGTGTGGGTATAAATGACTGAAAGTTTATGGCTGTGTCCGAAACCGCCTACTACACAGTAGGTACTGCATTTGAATTAAAACGTACTTAACTGCCGTTAAAAAGTATGGGTAACACTTTACAATAACAGTACATGAATAATGATGTATTATTATGTAAACTAAACATTACTTTATTATAAATTAATGATGAGTTAAGGTATGCACTAATCATGAATTAACTTTAATTACAACATGAGTCACATGAGTTCATGTGTAAATAACGACTACCTTAATTACTTGTTAGTACAGGATTGTTTGTTAATTAATGTATTAATTAACATTTTAAGTTTAAGCTAAATGTAACCAAGATGAACGCATGAGCTGTTAATGTATAGTTATGTCATGACTTTACTTGGAGGGGCACATCACTATATTAACTCATCCTTAACTAATCATGAACTCCTGTTCATGTTGATGTTGACAGAACACTTTTCTATTGTTATTCAGTGTAAACTCACTAGTTGGACATGCACAAGGAGTTCATGAGTAGTTAAGAATAGGTAATGATGATGTGCCCCTCCAAGTAAAGTCACTACATAATTATACATTAACAGGAAGTATGCTTTGGCCTAGAGTCACTTTTGACTACAGATTTGATTCATAGAACATGAATCCGGGAGGTACAAACACCAAAATAAACAAAACCCCTTCAAAAGTGGAGTAAGCATCATTTCCCACTTCCTACTCAACTAGGTCAAGTAACATTTGTCCTCAAACCATACATGACCATAAACTGCCGATAAAGCAGAATAAGGATGCAAATTAGATCAGTACTATGCACTATAAATCAGTAAAACTGATGTTGGGCAACAGATTAGGCAATCTATTCACTAGTTGAAATTTAAGGATTTCCTATAGGTATAACTAAGCAAATTAGTGATGTTAAAACTGCTTACCTTTCCACCACATGTATTTTTAGCTCACATTATTATCACACATACATACACTTTCCATCACTCTCACCTGTCTTTAACCCCACACCTCTTTCTTTCAGTCTCTCTCTCTTACTCTCTCGCTCTCTCTCTCTCTCTCTCTCACACACACACACACACACACACACACACACACACACACACACACATAGAACGAACACACTACTTCCTCTGTGCTAGGCAACAGAGAGCACATGCATGACAGGCTGATGGAGACACAGGGAGATATTGTTCAGGTGTAATGGATATCTAACGGTCACATGACTGCCTCACGAATCACAAATGTATTGTCGGCATCAGATTTGAGGGTCCATGCGTTCTTCTTCTTCCAAACACTAAATCAAGTCTCATTTTAAACACATTTTCAGCTCCCAGAAAAATATAAAAATGTTACAAACATGTAGTAATGCTAACTACATGTCATGTAGTAATGGAAAGAGATTATACATTTATAACAACATTACATTAATTTATGTTTTTTTTAATTAATTCAAGCTTTATTTATGCTTTATGAATGTATAGTTCTTATGAAAGGGATAAGTGCTTTAATGAACAATATGTGATAGCCACTGAATAGGTTGCATTTATGAATGCATTTGTTTGTGCATAACACACACACTGCACAATGTTTGTCTATTTTAGCATTCTTCCGGTGCGTGGATTTGCTGTGTTCACGTGTGGGAGGTTATGTAGTCTATAGGTTTATAGCTGACTCTAAAAATGTCTGAGCAAATATAAATAATGAAATTATAAATAAATAAATAAATAAATAAATAAATAAATAAATAAATAAATAAAATAATATAGAATTAAATAATAAAAAGCTATCTTGCAGCACATCATTATAATAGTTTTATTTCTGCTCAGATGCCCTTGGCACAATTCCAGTGCATTTCTCAAACATCTTAAAATTAGAGCCAATGAGATTTCTTCACTTAAGTATTGATGGCTGTTTAAATGATCAAGTAAGTGATATGAGAGAAGTGTCATTGTTATCATAAGACCCCTGAAATTGTCTGCCATGCATGTGGTTATGACCACAAACCAAGCTAAACAACTGATAAGATCTTTGTTCTAGTTTATGTTTTGGGGTTGTAAAATGCTTGATTCTGATTGGCTGACGAGCATTCCAAGGTTCTCCAGCATGCACAGCTAAAGTAGTTCCAGGCAAGTCATGACCTCATTACAATCCCATATCACAATTTAGTTTTAGGTTTTTTCTTCATAATATCATATAGCAATCATATAAATATGAAAAAATATGAACTTTTTTCCCTGTGTAATTATGCTATATTATATAAAGAGTATAATCCCCTGCGTCCACCCTCAGATGTACACAAACAATACAGCACCAACACACAGACAGAAACACGTTATCAGTCATGCCTTGATTTCCCGTTTATTACAGTGTCTTTGTTGCATGTTTTCCATTAAGTTCATATAGTGGGCACAATATATAATCAAACTGACATGCTACTAAATGTATTTTTACAGTGCATGCTATGGTTTGGTTCACTTTTGAGGCTTTTACATTGTATTCCATACCTCTGTCTGTTGCATCCGTTACCCGCCAAGCTGATTTCACCAAGTATGCATGTTCCTGGAATAACATCTATGTTGAGATCGGAAAAACTTTCCAATCAGCCAATCAGAACTAAGGAATATGTTTACAGTTTATGTTAAGTTTAGGCTTACGATAAGGTTTATGCAATTTTACATATTTGCTATCCATCCATTATTCTCCTCTGATTTTGGGAATAATTTACAGTTATGGTTGGGTTTAGGATATGGATTACATTTTTGAACACAAATTATGTTAACATAGATGTTAATCCAGGATCGCATTATACTTGGCAAAACCATGATGTGCTCCATTACCTCTGCCTCTCTCTGGGTTCATTTGTGCTGTGCAATTGTTTATGTCATGTTTTCAATGATGTCATGACAGTATGACACTGAAACTATAGTGATGACCCCTCCCACTTAAAGCAGCAGCTACTAAACTGGACTAAACATGCAAACCAAACCAAAGCAAAGTGAGCCGTGTCATACCTACCATCCCGCACGTTGGAATGTAACCCTTTTGTTAATTGTAATACTCATCCTAACCCTAATTATTTTCATCCGGTACTTAAGTACATACAGTAATAACACAGATACAAGGACACCACAAAATAAGGTTTAAGCTTTCAAAGTTTTTAAATATAATTAAATTATTATATATCTACATTATTGCATTTTAATGATTTATAAACTTGATAAAATGTGGAAATTTGGTCAGACACTGACAAAATGTGGTAACACTTTACAATAACAGTACATGAGTAATTGTGTTAATATGTATACAAAAAATTACTTTATTGTGAATTATTGATGAGCTAATTATAAACTAACTTTAATTACAACACGAGTCACAGGAGTTGATGTGTAAATAACGGCTTCCACATATACTTGTTAGTACATGTTGTTAATTATTGTATTAATTAACATTCAGGTTTAAGCTAAATGTTATTCATGAGTAGGGCCAGACGGAATCTGGGTACGTTTTTTGCTATTTCTGCAGAGTTTTCGCAAAAATATGCGGATTTCTGCTGAATTAATTTTGGAGTATTATAACTAATACTTTAAAATGTAAAATAAAAATATTATCTTTTTAACTTTTATTTACTGTTTACAATGCAAATCCAATTAGATTCACTTTATTTGGTAAACAAAGCAAGTCTCTCATATAATACATCTACTGTACTATTACTACAGAAAATATTACTGTACAAACTAAGCTGTTAATGTATAATTATATCATGACTTTACTTGGAGGGGCACATCACCAATAACTCAACCTTAACTACTCCAATAAACTACAAATGCGTTGTTTAAATTATTTTTGGATATAAACAACAAAATTGTGTTTTAGATTGTAACTTACTCAACATTATTGTAACCCTGTCTGTTTTTTTGCGTTATTTTGGTTAATTCATGTCACACCCCTGTTAGTTCTCCATGTGTTCTTTATTAGTGTCCTGTATATTAATCGCCTTCACCCAGTCATCAGCTCGTTTAGTTAATTGTTTCTTTGGGTGTTTATTCCCGGTTCTGTCAGCCCTTTATAATCAGTAGTTTTCTTAGTAACCCCTGTGATGTGTGTGTGTGTGTGTGTCCCAGTTTGGCTTTGTTGTCCTTTAGCTTGTATTTGTTTGTTATGTTTTTTTTCCATTACTGACTACGTTCACATGGACATCAGCAATCAAATTATTTGCCTTATTCTGAATAAGACAATAATATGATTAAGGTGTTTACATGAGTTTTTGCTTTTTGAATGTTCCTTTCATGATCTCATTTTACATGTTATAGCACATAATTGGACTGATGTCATTGCATCACCTTGCTATCCACATTTACTCTGGAGTTTCATGTAGTTTTGTGTGTTTCAAGATATTGGATGCTAGTATGAACTGCTCGTAGAGTGTAGTTTTAATGGAATTTGATACCGCACACCGTATGGGAAAAATACCTCCGCATTTCACAATGCAGGTGTCTGTAGTACTTCTTGTCGCAAAATCTAAAAATTCTACATGACGGTAATAGTTTGATTGCAGTGTTTACTTGTCTGTACTGCACTTAATAATGCAATTAAAATCAGCATACTCCACATCTTAATCTGATTTCTGTTTAGTTTCGTTATAATCTGATTAAATTAATCAAAACTTACTGTTTACTTGGAGTCTTAATCAGAGTATTATCTTAATCATAATAAAATCAGATTATTCGAATCCATGATAACATACTCATTCTTGATTTTCTGCACTTCACAGTAAACCCTCTGGACTGCATTTGGACCGCCATTTCATTAATTACCAACAAAAACATAACAATTATCTTGTTAGTTGTTGAACTAATCAACAAAATCAATACCACATTTGCATTCACGCTCATCCACTAATAATAGATTACACAGAATTTTAAAGTAAGTTAATGAAACACTTATCAAAGAGTTTTTATTATTTTAAAGTGTGCCATTATTGGCCAATTTTTCCCAGGCTCATTCTAAAAATGTACTGCTATATACTATTCTGGAGAGCAGCAAATATGTTAAAGGAGCTACATTTTTGCAGTTTTTGTTCTTGCAAATCCACCAGAGGCTGCTGTGTATGCATTTTTAGATCTCAAAATTATCTCGCGAGTGCCATTTGCCTGCTGATCTCTCAAAAATCCACCAGAGACCATTGTCGACTGACTGAATGACTGACCGATCAACTGACCCACCCTCCATCTTCCCTAAAACCAACCAATAGTGTTTTCAAAAGCCCTAATTGACCAGAGCCCACCCCTTCCCTAAACCCAACCAATAGTGTTTTCAAAAGCCCCGATTGACCAGAGCCCACCCCTTCCCTAAACCAAACCAATCGTGTTTTCAAAAGCCCCTATTGACCCACCACCCACTTCCTTAAACTTAACTGACAATTTTAAAAAGGAGGGATCTCCTCATCCACCACCAGTGTGCAGCATCCACCTGGATGACGTGACGGCAGCCATTTTGCACTAGACCGCACACCACACACCAGCTGATTGGTGGTTTTATTTCTATCTTACCTGCTTTCTAGAATCATTTTTCACCAGACTCAAACATGGCAAGCTACTGGACAAACTGGTAAAAGCGGGAAAGCCAGTAAGCATGAAAAGGAATTGTGCCATACCACCCTGAAGCATTCGTTTTAAAGACGAAGTGCAGCCATATGTACTTCTAGCTTCATAATTTGTGATCTCCAGGAATGTATATAGAACTATGTTTTCAGAATGAGCCTATGTTGCAATATTTAGGCCTATACGTTGACAATCTTAATGTTTCATTCTTAATGTTTAATTTTAGCCACAATTGCTAATTATTCTTTACATATACTATATGTCATATATAGCCAGCCTATATTGTCCTCTTTATTTTTATCAGACAGCTACAATAAACATGCATGCAGTCTGATCTAAACACTTTTTTTTTTTTTTTTACCTTTCAGCTATTAGACATGACAAAGAAATCAAGATAAAGGCTGAACAACATCCTGGCTATGTGAAAGTTCATCACTTCCTGTAGAGCTGGGCATCCTTTTCTATTTCAGTGTCCTGAGTGCGGCCCGATGTGTGCAGAAGCTACAGTGAGCATGAAGAAACACTCTGTAATACGTTTGTATGAAGAAGGACTAACGCTTGAAGAATATTCAGCAGTTATGAATTTTAACAATATGTAGCACGTGTGTAATCCTATAAATGCTGCTTTATAGGAATCTCATACAATATTCATAACTGATGTGTGATGTAGACATTACTGACAAACTTAATATTACATGAGCAGATACCATTTATTGATGTTTTCATGTCTGTGCATTGATTGCGTTCAAATGTTATAATTGAAATTAATTATTGTTGTTTAATTTACTGATTGACTAAAGCTCCAAACATTGTTTTGATGAGTTTCTTTTCTTTACCTGTGCTATGATGAACAGAGTATGAAGGACCATGTATGTAGTAGACTCTGTTAGTGTTAGCTTTAGATCTGTGTTGATGGTCTGTACTTGTTATTATGCTCACATCTGCATATTTAAGAAGGTGGCATACAGCATTTCAACTGGTCTTTTGCTCTGTCATTATCTTGCTTTACGCAACTTTTTAGCAAGGTTACCCATTTGTAGAGCTGCAAAAAGGAAACATGATTCACTGAGAGATATGTGTGTCTGTATGTCATTTTTTAAAAAACATGACGAGCCACAGATTGTGCAGTTCTCATGGGAAACCACGTTCAGATAAAAAGAACTGCTGTTGCGTACCTTGAAATCCCCTTTGCATGATAATGATTGACATCTAAGAGCAAGGATCTGCAGCCTGGCATTTATAACAGAAATCACAGCGTCATTGCTCACTGGGATTTCCACTGTACATTTTGTGCAGCAGTACTTACGTTGTCATGTGCTTAGGCTTGTGTTTTAAATAAAGTTAAAGATTTTAAGGCATTTTATGTTATATGTTGTTAAGGCTATGTGTCATTCATATTTAATTAGGGCTGTCAATGGATTAAACACTTGTGTTTTTGACTATTAAAAATGACTCTATGCAACTGGCAATAATAAAAATAAATAAATAAACATATTACAATGCCTAAATTCATCTACACATAGGCTACATGTTTTGTCATTTTTATGGCTCTTTGTTAAAGTACAAATACATAAGGTTTTATCTAATGATGACATCGATGACATTTTACTTCAAAAATCCAGCTTGGTAAAGTTAGCTTAATGATACTCAAATATTTACTAGACATTTACGTATGTTGCTTATACTGTAAGTGCATCCTGAATTGCATACTGTGACTATGCAATATTTGCTGCTATTCTGTAAAGAGTGTAATCCACATTATTATTATTCTTAAAGTGCATAATTCATCCATGCAAGTTAATCTACTGAAAAATGAACGTTTATTTTGGTAATCTTCAATCAAAGTCTGACCATTTGTTTCTGTATTTTGAGTGGCGGTGCTTCTGTTGACATCAACCTAGGGCTTTCATATACTGTAACTGTTCTGTAACTGGCCTATATCAATAACCTTAACCACCATTAGTTGATATGAGAGAATGAAATGAAGTCATTCTCAAAGAAAATCCTTTGGGATTTTCTTTGTTGTGGCGGCCCTGTTGACCATCGCAGTTTTTCATCTTCATAATAATGTGAATAAATCTTTGTGTATAAAATTTTTGATTCCAGTTGGTTAACAAGTGTTAGCATTCCACTTAAGACAGTGTAGATTGAGTGTATAAGTGCATAAGTGTATCAAACAATGTATATACAACTGTTTTTTGTTTTGTTTTCAAATGTGATTGGCTTATAGCCTGATCTCACGAGAAAACGTAAGTATTTTACGTTTTGCCAGTTTAGTGGCAAATTCGTACGAGTTCAGTCGTACGAAAATGTACAATTTTAAAAAGGAGGCGTAGCACATAACCCCACCCCTAAACCCAACCGTCATTGGGGGATGAGCAAATTGTACTAAGTTGTATGAATTAGATTGTACGAATTCATACAAATTAACCACTAAATCAAAAAGTTACGAATTGCCGTGAGATTGTGTTGGATAGTCTACTGTCAGCACTGTTTCAGCATCTTAACTCATGTGTATCACCCTATCCAGGAATGGGCAAAAATACACTAAAATGTATTTTAAAATGAAAAACCAATTACCTCAATTTTATATGTATCAAAATAAAATACTTTATTTTGTTTTGAAAATACTACAAAATACATTTACGAGCGAGCATGACATTTCTTCGCAAAACCTAGGCATATTCGATTAATTCCTTCACCATTAAACTGACTCTGTAAAGAAAAAAAACATTCATTCATTCATTTTTTGGCTTAGTCACTTTATTAATCCGGGGTCGCCACAGCGGGATGAACCGCCAATTTATCCAGCACGTTTAACGCAGTGGATGCCCTTCCAACTGCAACCCATCTCTGGGAAACATCTATACACACTCATTCACACTCATACACTTTGGACAATTTAGCCTACCCAATTCACATGTACCGCATGTCTTTGGACTGTGGGGGAAACTGGAGCACCCGGAGGAAACTCACGCGAACGCAGGGAGAACATGCAAACTCCACACAGAAACGCCAATTGACCTAGCCGAGGCTCGAACCAGCGACCATCTTGCTTTTTTTAATTTGGAACAAATTATCCAAAACAGTTTACGCATTGTCCCAAGATTTTTTCAGTTAGTGAGCACCAGTACACCACCTTTAGGTGTTTTATTATTCTAAAGTTCGTCTGAATTTGCATCTGCAGCACTGAGACTGAGAATTATTATGTGCTGAAGGCTCCACATCCTGTTCTTAAGGACTGCTGTTTTATTCCACCTCATTTCTTAAGCGAAGATGCATAACTTCCATCCATTCTACAAGCGTTTACCATCTTCATAATCAATTTTCTGTTCTGACCTCAAGCTAAGGCAAATAACAGAAAGCATCTATCTGAGGCTGCATTTGAAAGATGTCATATACTTCTTACAATGTATTTTACAGTATTTTAAAAATACAAAAATACAAGACCTTAAAGTATTTTTATACAAAATATTAACCCATTTTTAAAAACTCTATCAAATACAAATTACAAAATACTATTTTGTATTTAAAATGTGTATTTAAAATACTTGCATCATAAATACTGCCCATCCCTGACCCTATCTGTGCCAAGCAGAGAACGTCTTTTTAAAAGTGAGATTCTAATTGTTTATATTGCAAATATGAATTTTATTTATACAGTTAGTACATTGTATATTGGTCTACTGTGTTATTTCTTTTGGGTGTACCTAAAGGCAATATTTGCTTGCAATTATCTGTAATTATAGCTTCAGAGCAAATACATTTGTCTGCTATGTTAAAATTTACAGCTTAATATATATTATGCTGAATGAAAACTTGTTTGCTATTATTTTGAGTAATTTACTTAGCATCTTTTTATTGTTGTTTTCTTAAAATGTTTTGTTAATATCAAACTTCTATTATAAGTTTTATAAATGAATTTACTATAAGTTTAAATATTTTCACGTCAAACCTATATGATACATTTTATGTATAAAGACAACTATAGTTTATGCTGTCAACATTTTTTTCTCCCAGTCTGGCTCCAAGTGCTACATGCATCACCCAAGCGCCCATGGATCTCTGTGTCACCCTGTGTGTTGCTTGTGTTGTTGTTGTTGTATATATGTTTTCCCTCAGTGTTTACTATGAACATTTAGTTCAGGTGTCTCACTTGTGTTCTCAGTGTTTCCTTATGCCGTTGTCACTACATTTTTTGCCCCATACATTGTTTGTATGACCAATAGAAGTTCAAAATGGGATCTTTCTTTATTTATTACTGACATAATCGTTTTGTCATACACAAAACTGCGTATGTAATAAAATTGATATTAAAATAAAGTGATTGTACTATGCTCACCTGTTTGTCATTTCAAACCAGTATGAATTTCTTTACTTTGCAAACTGTCTTGGAATTTTAATAAATCTAAATATATTAATATAATCATTTATTAAAATTAAATATTTGGAAAAAAAAAAACAAAAAAAAAAACAAAGCATTGCTATTATAGGCAAGACAGGTCGGGACTGCAGACAGTCCAGTCAAGTATCTGTATCCTTTTTCTCCGGAACAGGACTTAGTAATGTGTGCAGAATGTGGTTTTGCGTTGTCTTGTTGAAATTTAGGTGTAAGAAATTTTATGCAGAATCAAAATATTAATATCTTAAGCTTTTAGTAATTATCTACTTTTGGATTTAATAAAAAAAAACATTTGAAGTGTAATTTACAAGTTAAATTTAATATTAAATTATTTAGCAATTAATTCATTGCAACATTGTGTAATTATTAAGATAAAAAAATCTTCAGTTGATATCCCTATGATTTATTTATTTTATGGAACAATGCTTATTAATAAACTGTCAGTTATTGAAAATAAACAACAGAATTAGCCAGTTATGGTCATTTATGGTCTCAAAATAAAACAGAAATTGAAATTAAAAATGTAAGAAACAACTTAAGAAAAAAACTAAACAAAACACAACCATTAACAAATAGGACTATAAAAAAAGGCACATAAAGCTCAAAAACTGATATTTTCTGCACACGTATATTTTTGGCATTTTTTTGTGTCTGTTGATGTACATTTAAGATTAAATCACATTTTAACCATATGGCTATACCCGGCAATTGGGCCAATTTTTACACTTAATGGAGTCAAATGTTTATGGCAACAGCCATTTTAGGACAGTTTGGGGTTTGATTTTAGTGACTTAAGAGTCCTCTTCACTAATGTTTTACTGATTTAGCTTTAAGTGCTAAAACATTCTCTTAGAGCAGAAATGTATGAGTCCTAAATTTAACACCGACACACCTGTAGTTTTTAAGATTTTCTCCTAAATCGACAAACTACTCCTAGCCTTATTTTGTGAATATGTCACCAAAACAGATATTTTACCATTATTTGCTAACAGTAAATGTAATGTTACTACAAATGGTCATTTAAAAACTACTTGTTTGTTTTAACACAAATATGGTTAAAATATAAACAAACTTGACAGTTGGTTCAGTTTTTAATAGAAATGTAAACCCAACTGTTTGGTTTCTCTATATATAGGGGCATATATTTTAGAGTGAGTGAGTTTATGTCTGTTCTGCAGGTTGTGTTTTACCTCATAAGAAAGGTTGGACTTTGAACCACATTTGCTGGATTTTGTCAATAGTAACGGCTGTATAAAGACATGCAGTTATCAAATCACTTTATGACTTTTAGATGGCTCTTATCAAAACACATCTATAAAGGAGTTTGTATCGAAAGAAAAAGACGCTGTAGCGCCCTCTGCTGTCTGTGAAAGAGAAGACGGCAGACACCCATTTTCTAATTTAGATGCATCATCATCACACAAATGAGCGCGATTAAAACGCGTCACGAAGTTCGCGACACCAACACACCAGCGAGGTCAGTAGAAAATGTCATTTATATAATAAAATTACTATATCATAGATGAGATAGAGATAGTAGTGTGACATAAGAGAGGAGGATCATCAATGTGTATTGTCAGGATGAGCATATTTATCAGGGCCCCTCATTTAAAGTGCACAAGAGGGGCCTTCATCTTCAAACACACTCACGAGCAAACCTTCAAGCTCTGACATCACGCTGAATGGTTAATTGAGCTAGTCAACCTAGTGTGCCACGCTAAATGAAGTGTTTCGCTCCGGTAATCAGCAAGAAGATTCGCACAATGCCCATCAGACAGCTAATTCCTCAATCCTCTTGTCCTTATTAAGAGTTGATTAGAGGGAAATTATAGCATGACAAATAAACAAGATACAGATGTTAATATGTTAATAGCTCTCCCTCGGGCCTGAAACAGGCAGATTATAGCAATCATTCACAAATCCTATCAATCTCAAATGGAACAACAAACATGAGCAACAGCATGCA